ACAAAAGGTGCAAGTCCACTGGTGAGGAAGGAGGACCTTGTGCCCGCCTGCGCTGGTAGATACGCCGCTATCAGCCGGAAACGCAGGTGAGTGCTGCTGACCGTGACCCCCACTCGTCTACCTGAGCTGTGCTTCGTGACATCCGTGAATTTCACGCCTTCCGTAAACGAGAGGACAGCAACTCCTCCTGCTTTCTGGCTAGGAGCCACCGCCACCACCGCCGTTGGTCTTAGCTGAGTCCAAAAATTGTGATCCTCTCCTACTCTTGCGTCTGTTAGCACCATGATGTCCGCCGTTCTCTTCAACCACTTCAGATTCTTGTTCCTTTTTCCGTTGCTTCCGAGGCCATTCACGTTGACCTCACACAAAGTGATGCCGTTGGTTTTGTTACCCATTAATCCACTGCACAGGAGCCCCCTCGCATCCACGGGCTTGAGTACAACCAAGAGACATGCAACCGAAACGCTGACGTCTGACCCTACTGCTCCTGATCAACCACTGCTTGAAACATGCATGCGGCACTGGTCTTGGGTTTGACACAAAGCACCCCTTCACAGCTCGAACTCCTTGCGGATCGCCCTCAGATTGATCTTCCCCTTGCTTGCACGCGTAGCTTCCCCCCCTTTCAGGATCGCAGTGCAGTGCTGGACGGAGCGAACATGGGTCAACGCTTGGGAGAAACTGGAACCCTTCGCCTTCGCACACGCCTCCTGGACGCAGATCCAGTCCTCCCTGCTGCCTCCCGTGGAAACCAGAGTCACCGCCGGGTCCCGAAGGATCTTCTTCGTCGTCGCAGTCAACAAATGCGAACCAGCTGCTCACGGAGGGTGGGAGGCGGCTGTCAGCATCCCAGTTCTGGGGGTTAGTATTCCGCCATTTACCATTGATGTCGTGGATTCGCTGCAGCGTCAAGTTCCACTTCGAGATGTTCTCCTGCCTTTCCGCAACGTAATCATCATGCAGTTTCGTAAAGTGCATGCCGTTGCAAAAAACACACTTCAGCGACGGGAAATGAACAAGCAGCTGCTTATGATGCACCGTATCATAAAGCATATGCCATCACCGATACTTATCCACGGGTGGACTTTCACCATGTGAGAATCATAAGCAGAGTGAGGAGCCATAGCTAGGGTTTAGCTAGCTAGGCAAGAGAGAAAAGAACAAAGGAGCGGTTTCACTAGCAGCAGTTGGGATACATATAGCAAACCCTAACAGGGTTGTACTCGCTATAGAGCACCCCACTACAGGCTAGATAATAACATTCTGACACACCCCCATAGCCAAAGTGGGGTGTAATCAGCAGAGCACGCAGTCATAGAGCAGGTTCACAAATGCAAGCAAAGCTAGAGGCTATCACAGAGGGCAAGTGAGGAGGAGGAGGAACTGTGGAAGGAGAGAAGATGGGAGGCAACGACTGAAGCTGCAGAGGCACGGGCACAGGAGCGGCTGACTCAGTGGCTACCGAAGCAAGGGCGACGGACTACTGGAGTGACTGGCTCCGCGGCTAAGACGAGCGGCAGGAGCAACGGACCCACTGGCGACTGGTGCAACAGGCTCACTGGCTACCGAAGCAAGGGCGACGGACTACAGGCGCTGCAGGCGACACGACAGCTATCTCCACACAACCTCCTCCAACTGACCCACACCCTTGACACACACCCCCTGCTGAACCCCTAACTCCACTCCCACGTCACCCCCCTAGTGCCATTCCTTCGGCTCCCACACACCCACCCCCCCTGAGCGGTAGCTGCAGCAGCGGGAGACGGAGGAGGAGGAGGAGTAGGGAACGGCGCACAGAAACTGCACCCCCACACCCCCACCCCCAAACCCTAATTCAGGAGAACGGGCAGCAGCAGGGGTGGGGCGCCATCAGAAGCACGGGGGACAGCGGGCAGCTCAGGGGCAGAGAGGAACGGGCCGCCCACGGGCCTGGCACAGCCCGACGAACCGCGCGCAGGCGGCCCGAGCCGCGCGCGGGCCTGGCGCAGCCCGTACGGGCCGCGCGCGGGTCTGGCGCAGCCCGTACGGGCCGCGCGCGGGCCTGGCGCAGCCCGTACGGGCCGCGCGCGGGCCGGGCGCAGCCCGTACGGGCCGCGCTCGGGGCTAGCGCAGCCCGCGCTGGCCGGGACGGGCGACGGGGGACGACGGGCTGGTCCCCGTCGCCCGTCGAAACACCCCCCGGGGGCGACGCGCGGACCGACGGGGCAGAAGGCCGCCGCGCGTCTCGGGGCGCACGGCGGGCAGAGAACCGCCGCACGCCCCGGGGCGCACGGCGGGCAGAAAACCGCCGCGCGCCTCGGGGCGCACGGCGGGCAGAAAACCGCCGCACGCTCCGAGCGCGCGGCGGGAAGAAAAATCCGTCGCACGCCACGGGGCGTGCAACACACAGAGTAGCAGCAGAAGCAGTTAGGTGGGCCCACAGGCCAGGAGCGTAGATGCTCTGATAGCATGTGAGAATCATAAGCAGAGTGAGGAGCCATAGCTAGGGTTTAGCTAGCTAGGCAAGAGAGAAAAGAACAAAGGAGCGGTTTCACTAGCAGTAGTTGGGATACATATAGCAAACCCTAACAGGGTTGTACTCGCTATAGAGCACCCCACTACAGGCTAGATAATAACATTCTGACACACCAACCCCTTTATCTTATGCGTGTCAGCTCCCGTCACAGGATCCACCACTCGGTGAAAGGCAGCGCCAGACTGGTACGGTGGGCGACCTCGCTTCTCCAGCGGCGTGGTAACCAGGAGCTTGTAAATCATATCCGGCGAGATCTCCGCAGGAACCTCCTTCAGCAGGACTTCAACCGCCTCCGGGTTCTGCGCGCGCTCCTTGATATACAGCGGGTTCTCCGGGTGCTGCCAACTCAGCACCAACTTAGTTTTCCCGTCCGCGCAGATGTGCTCCACTCGCCTGCACCAGACGTAGTTCGCATCCGCAGCCTCGCGAAAGGTAACCTGCATCCTCCCGAAACGTTTCTTCGACAGGTAGGCTGGCAGCACGGTCTGCATCTTCGTTGTCTTCTGCGCATGCGGGGACAGCGCCTTCTTCCAAACGATCAGCAACTCCGCCATTGTATCCATCGTGCGCGGGACCTCCTTGTCGAACTCCACCGGGATCAGCAGGGTAAGTGTGTAGCCTGCCAGAGCAGCGATCTCCCCCGCACGGACCGGGTCCAGCCGCTCCTCTGGGTCATCGCTCAAATAACCATCGTCCGGTATCTCATCCTCATCTTCTTCTTCCACAGGATCCACACGGGCTTCCGCAGCCGGCGCGTCTTTACCACCAATGTCTCCCTTCTCTTGTTCCGTAGCGCTTGTCCCCCCGGATGCATTGTCCTCCAGGGTCTTAAAACTCAGCGAGGCCAGCTTCTTTTCCAGCGACATCCGAGAGTCGTCAGCAGCGAACGGCCCGACCGTGTCCTTCAACATTGGCTTCGGCGTAGCAGGCTCTGACTGATGCCCTTTGTCCAGCGGCGAGCACTCAACCGCACCGGTCTTCAGAGCAGCAGCAGCAGCAGCAGCAGCCTTCTTCGTTGGACGAACCATGGTGCAATGATGAAAAGCAAAAGGCAGCACTCTTGCTGATAATGAAAGCTGACTGAGCACCGACACCTTATAAAGTTGTTGTCCAGGCTTAGGCCTCGTCTTGTTCCTTGGGAAACCACGATAAAATCGATAGTAGTTCCCCGGGATGAGTATGCCGATGTATTTCCCAGGTTGCCAGTCATTGTCGTGATAAATGATATCAGGGTTGACCGGACCATTGATGTTAGCTTGTAATGCACTTTGAAAAGCTTCCGAGGTTGCCGTAGACTTCTTAGGAGCTGCATGATCGACATGTGTCAGCAACCTTGTAGCTGTTTTAAGACACTCGGGATTGCCTGACAGACGCCAGGTAGGTAACATGCCTTCTTGATAGGCACAAAAAATATACCCCCGTAAACGTCGTCCCGGATTGATTATGTATGGGCTGGCCTTGAAAATTGATCATTCTAAACGTTGCTCCAAAACAGGCTTGGTATTATCTTGAAGAAATCCGAGCTCCCTCAAATCTTGATTTTCGACACACATCAGGCTCACCTCGATACTATCACATGCCCACTCCCTCCCACACTCCCGTGCCCTCCGCCTTACATCCATTCCCCATGCTCGTCCCGTCCTCGGTCCACACTCCACGGCAGTCATTCAATCGTGGAATCCATTTCCTTCCGAACTCATCCAACCGCACTCAAACTGACGTTCTATGCAGATAATCCTTCTTATCCCATCCCACCATCCTGCACACTGTAGAGTGGTTATGTTGTCCATCAGAGCACCAACGATCGAGCATTTTGTCCACCATAGCCGTACGCCATATTCATCACCTTGACCGTCCGCCATTATCGATATCCTTAGCCGTCCGCCATATTCATCACCTTCCTGCCCACTTTCTCCCTTATCACTCCACGCGTTCCACTTGAACTTTCCAGAGTGTGATCCATTCAAATTTGCGGTCTTCTGTGACTCCTGCCGTGCCCTACGCAGCTGCGTTTTTTTTCAACTGACAGATTCCAAATCAGCTGTGGGGCCGTGTGCGGTGTGTGGTTCTCCGCGCGTCCACCTGTGTTGCAGCGGATCTGCTTCTCCGGAGAAATCCTTCTCTTTGTGCTCGGCCGGCAGTCGAAAATCCGTTCTTCTTGGTACTCGCGGGCGGCTGACTTGATGACCAAGCTGCGAATCTCCGCACGTCGCTCCGCGTTTATGACTGCCGTCTATCCGTAGACGATTTTTTCTTTGGGGAACCCTGTGAAGGAGAATCGCAGTGTGAGCGTAGTAGATTCACCGTTCGTGGCCCATCCCTTGCAACAGCCGCCTTCCTGCGCGTGACCCATCTCGTGTCTCGGAGGTTCCGTCTCCCGTAACTCAACAGCTCGTTCCTCGTCCCTCGTTCCTCGTGAATTGGCAATAAGCGCGCGGTCGTTCGGCGCGCGCTGCGGCAGCGAGAGCGAGAGCAAGAGCACGTCATGGCGTATGTTCCGACGACGCCCATGGGGGTGGCGACGGGGACGTGGACGACGGGGCTTTGCGGCTGCTGCGAGGACATCCCCGGCGGTGAGTAACGAGTGCGTGCGTGCGTGCGTGCGTTCGTGCATGGAGGCGTGCGTGCCGTCGGTTTTGAGTTCGAGGCGTCGCTTGAAACATCCCTGGCGGTGACTAGTCAGTGAGTGTCGTCGCTTTCGAGGTGCCCCTGGCAGTGAGCGTTTTGAGCCACGGCTCGTGGCCGACGGGCCTGTGCGGCTGCTGCTGCGAGGGCATCCCTGGCGGTGAGTAGTCAGCGCATGAGCGAGCCGTTTGAAGCGCCTCAAAAGACATCCCTGGCGGTGTGAGCGTGCCGTCGGTTTTGAGTTCGAGCCGCGCCTCCTGAGTCATCCCTGGCGGTGAGTGGGCGTTACGAGCCGCGATGTCAGTGTCGTCGAACAACACCTCTCTGTGCTTCCTGACACGCTGCCGCGATTTAAAACACAAGTCGTCGGATTCTTGACACGCTGCCGCGATTTAAAACACAAGTCGTCGGATTCTTGACACGCTGCCGCGAGGACGGCTTATAAACGAACGCTTCTACACTGGAGTCGTATGGCGAGGCGTGCCATATAAGGCGAGTGCTTCCTTCCAAGGCGTCTCCAATCTGCGCGTGCTCGTTCCGTTTCCTTGTTTTCTTCACCCTCGTCGGTGCTCTGCTGCTCGTTCTATTACGAATATATGATGTCCCGCTTTTCCCGTCCTCACAATTCTCCTTGGAGAATCGGAAACTCGAGGGATCCACATGTCTGGATCGCGTCGTTGTAACAAAAACATGGTAACCAGTTTACTGGACGAAAATAACTTCAACGTTACCCCAATGTGTCTGCATACACACTTCCTCTTCACCCCATCGCGCTCACCGCTCCCCTCGTCCCCTCCCGCCTGTCTGTCGCTGCCCTCCTCGTCGCCGTGCGTGCAGCGTGCTGCACGTATTTCTGCCCGTGCGTCATCCTCGGCAGGAACGTCAACATCGTCACCGACGGATTCACCGGTGAGTGCTCTCTCTTCTCTCCGCCGCTTACCACGCTCATGCGCGCTTGCTCGATTTCTCGCCCTTTTGCGCTTCCCTCCCGCCGCCTCTCCCTCCTCTTCGTCCTGCTCTCGAATCAGTTGCTGTTCCTTCTTCGCGCTTTCACGTTTTCGCCTGGCATCACTAACCTTCCCCGCCCACCTTTCCCCTCACTTGCCCCCCATTTGCCCTGCGCCATTCTCCTCCACTCCTCTCTGCGCTACCCCCTCCCATTCCCCCTCTTCGCCCCCTTTTCCCCCTTCTCGGCGTTCCCGTGCGCCCCCCTTCCCTCGTGCCTGCCATCCGCGTCCTATGTGTGTGCTGCGCCTCTCTCTGTGTGCGAGCAGAGTCATCCACGGCGTGCTGTCTCTTCTTCCTCGTCGACTCGCTCACCCTCGGCCTCTGTGGCTTCGTCTACTCCTGCGGTACCCGCCTCTCCGCCCTGCGCCCTCCGCCCTGTTGCACATCGCTTTTGGCTGGCCCCTGCCCTGTCCCTACTGCCCTGAGTTCTCTGCTCTCCTTACCTTCGTCCCCCTCTTATCCTTCGTTACTTTCATTCTTTCAAATCTGTGTATTTTCATTCTCATTATGCCCCACCACACACCCGCCCCTCCCTACCCCCAACTTCTCTCCCCTCTCCCCTTGTCTCAATCCCTCTTCGTCCTCTAGGATTCGCCTTGCTTCCTTACCTCCCTCTAACTTTCCCCACCCTTTCGTCCTCCCTTCCCCCTCCTCCCCCCTCCTTCCTTGCCTTTTGCCCCCTCGTTTTCCCACTCTTCCCCCCTCCTCCCTCTCCCTGTCTCCCCTTCTCCCACGCCTCCCCCTCTCTCAATCTTCCCCCCTCCCCCCCTCCCCATCTCTTCCTCTCCCCCTCTCCCCTCATCCCACCCCACCCCCTCGTGCGGCCGTTCCGTGTCACGTGCAGGCTACCGCACGCGGCTGCGGCAGAAGTACGACCTGCCAGAGTCGCCGTGTGGCGACTGCCTCACGCACCTCTGCTGCCTGCCCTGCGCGCTCTGCCAGGAGAACCGCGAGCTCAAGAACCGCGGCTGGGACCCCAAGCTAGGTGCGTGCCCTGCACTCCAACCTTCCTCTGGCCAGGGAGGGGGGGGAGGGTGGTGGCGAGATGCTGGGAGGGGTTGGGGGAGGGCACGGGAGTGAGGGAGAGGGTGAGAGAGCGAGAGAGAGTGCGAGGGAGTTTGAGGGAGGGCTGTGGAGGGAGGATGATGGTGGTGCAACCGTGGTGGTAGTGGAAGGTTGTGTTCTCCATGCGTTTCTTTCCGATCCTGGCATGGCACTTCACTCTAGTTTGCTGCTGCTCATTTTGAATGCTCATTTTCACTCTAGTTGGCACACCACCTCGGCAGACTTTCCCATCCGTGGCCTCTCCTGTCTCACTCAACCATCTCTCCCTGTGCACACTCACCTCCGCTGCCAGTCCCCGACTAGTCCCCCTCGCTACCTTCTCCCCAATGCCCCTGCACTCGTGTCGCCACCCTCCCCTTTCACCCTCCCCTTTCACCCTCGTGTCGCCTCTTTCACCCTCGCTACCTTCTCCCCAATGCCCCTGCACTCTCCGCTTTCCCACACCCTTCTCCCATCCCAGACCTCACGTTCACTGTGCGTTTTTTTTGGAATGCTGAAGTAAATTGCTTTTCCGTACAACCTCTTTCCTGCACCCATAACTCTCCCCCCTCCCTCCCCTTCCGCTCCCCTCCTTCCTCCCATGCCCCTTACTGTGACGTCCGCGCCACCAGGGCAAGACGTGTGCTCTATGTGAGCATCTAAGCGTGCTGGTATCACAAATATCATACCCTCCTGCCCGCATGCATCGTCCCCCCCTTTGTCTCCCTCCCTCCCTGCCTCCCATGTGCGCTGTTCACGCCACCCCACCAGGCTTTGCATCCAATGTGCGTATCTTCAGGGCGCGAGGGCAGGAGCCCCCTCCTCAGGTCATGCAGCGGTGAGGTGACCAGGGGGTGCAAGGCGGTGCCAGGGGCTGAGAGGGGTGCGAGGAGGTGCAAGGAGGTTGGAGAAGAGAAGCAGCCACATTTTGTTATCATACTTGCTCGTATGAAGCTTTCAGAGCAGCTGCTGCAGGAAGGTGGGGGAAATGTGTGGAGGTGGCTGGCTGTGTGAAACATGCGATCTGTTACGGTACAGGTTGATGCAGAGTTGAAGAGAGCATGCTTGGGAAAGAAGGGCTTGTGAAACAGGGCTTGGACAAACAGGGTTTGGGACGGGGAAATGCTGTTTTATGAAACGGTGGGTTGAACCTTGTCATTGGACTTACAGCTGCACTGCTCCTTGTCACCACCACGTGGGCTGGTGCTGCTGGTGTGTGCTGCTAGTGTGTGCTTGTACATTTGTTCACTTGCTGTTGGTGATCTTGGTTTGTCTGCTAGTGGAGCTTCTGCTGTGTTTGGTTGTGTGTAGTGTGGTCACTGACAGGTGCAATACTAAACGAGAGTGCTGAGTGTTTTGATCTGTACCTGTACTTGCCACACCTACCAGGTCAGTTCAGAAAACAGCAGACTCTTTTACGGTACCGTAATGGGTGTGTAGAGAGAGGGCTCTTGCCCTACGTAATGATTACCGTTACCGTATCACCCCGGATATAAGCGCAGGCCTATGTTAAGCGCATGCGCTTATATCTGGAGCAATGCGCTTATGGCCGATCCTCAATTATAAGCGCACCCCTTATAAAACCCTGATTTATTATAAGCGCATGTATAAACATATTATAAAATAACCGGATTAAAACAGTAACGACTTCCCGTTTTGCAGCGAGTCCACATCCACTTCTACTCTGTTCGACTCCCTCGAGGGCGGGCTCGCTCAGGAAAAGCGCAACGGCGCGAAGTTGAACTGACAGGGGGCTCGGGAACAACTGTTGTCTGTGCGCTGCGAGCGAGCGACTGCAGCCTGCAGGCCATTGGTCGTACACTGGGGCAAGCCTGTGCGATGCAAACGAGCGACTGCAAGCTATTGGTTCGTACACTGGGCTGGGGCGAGCATGACACATTCCTATGCGAAAGTGACGTGTCCTTCCTTGCCCTTGTGCGCCGGCAAAGAATCGCCCTCGCCCTTGTGTGAAGCAGAACCCTCCACACATTTCGATTTGAATGAGATTTCAAGACTCAGATGCACAGTTTGGTGCGTTTATAACATATTTATGTGTTTGTCATTATATAAGCGCATGCGCTTATAATTTTGACTCATTTATAAGCGCACCCCCCTAAAAAACACTGTTTTATTATAAGCGCAGATGCGCTTATATCCGGGGTATTACGGTACTAGTGTAACCTGTTCTGAAACAGAAAGTAGCTGGTCAGGGCAAGGACATGTATCAGGGCCTCAGATTCGTTTTGGCGTAGGCTGACTGGTCAACCTTAGGAGTGTGTTCATGGCTGATCTGTCAGTGTTGTTGTTTAAAAAAAAACTGACTTTTCAGGGTGTATATTAAAAAAAAAACTGAACGATCAGCGTCACTATTTGGTGAAGACTGAACCATTTCAAACAAGTTCTGCATTGATATAACAAACGTTTACAGGAAATCTAATTAAACATATCCTCATCCTCTTCATCATCATCACCCTCTTCACTATCACTAGAGCCTAAAGAGAGCGCCGCGGCCAGCGACGACCGCCGCCATGCTAGCTTCACGGGCAGACCGCGGCCCGTGAGGCACCATGGCGACGGGGGAAAGAGACAATCGGCGAGGCGAGGGGAAGGCGAGGCTGCGCGACGAGGGGAATGCGGGACGACTGGAGGCTGCAGGGAACGACGCGGAAGTTTGGCTCTGCGAGGGGAAAGGAAAGGGAGCAGAAAAGAAATATCTCTATCCTAAATCGTACTTACCTATTGGGCATACTGGTGTGTTGCTGCCGCACTGATGGGCTGCAGAGGAGAGCTGCAGAGGGATGCGGGTGGAGAAAATACGGAGAGGAATACGGGAAGCACGAGGGAGTGAAAGCGGAATCGCGGTTCCCTCTATCCCTCGCAACTCCCTCTCCCACGCAGCTAACTATCTCCCTCGCAGCTCACTCTCTCCGTCTCAGCCTGATCAAACGGAAACGAGGGAACCAAATGCGGGGGGCGATGAGGAGTAACGAGAAACAAATGTCTGTAGATTCGTACCTACTAAGATGGCGTTGCTGCTGAGCTGAGTTCACGGGCTGAAAAGGAGTGGGTATTCCCGTCAAGGAATATGCACGAACGAGAAGTGCAGCTCACGGGCTCACGGATCATCGTACAGCGACGACCAGCTGCGACGCCAGCTTCGCTGGCGAACGCGGCCCGCACGGCGCCATGGCGACGGGGGGAAAGGGAAGCGTGGCGCAGCGAGGGGAAGGTGAGGCTGCGCGATGAGGGAATGACGCTAGGCGAGAAATACACCTGTAGAGTAGAAGAAGAACCACTTCTACTCTACAGGTGTCCAGTACAAGTGCCTTGCATCTCCAAGTGGAGGGACGAGAGGGAGGGGCTGCTGCGAGCGATGCAGGCGCCGAGAGTGGGGAGATGCTCAGAGCGAGAAAAGCGAAGGTGAAGGGAGTGAAGATCCAGGTGGGTGAGAAAGAAGCGGACGGTCTGCGACCAGTGGGGGTTTCATCTAGAGTTGGTACAGGAAAGAAGAATCTCTACCGTATCCTTGAGCCAAGATACCTTCGCGAGAAGACAGCAGTGGAGTGAAAGTTCGTGAATGACCATTCCCGAATGCGTTGGCAAGGAATCTTGCCATTTCGGCGTGATTGACAGAGGGACGGTCGAACCGGTGTACCTAGACATCCGGAATTCAGGGCACCTACGCTAATCTCCATTACAGGGATTTCAGCCAACCCCTTCCTTACAACTCTGATGAGACAGCGTACACGACAGGAAAAAAAGCTGATATTTCAGCACATACAGATTTAAAAACCCTGAAATTTCAGCAAACACACTTAAAAAAAAGCTGCCACAACATCCCCACTATTCTCTCACCACTGAAATCACAGCCTTTTTACCCCTAATCAGCCTTTTTTCGCTGACTTCTGAGGGCCTGACATGTATGTTGGGCTGAGAAAAAGCCCTTAGGATCTTTGCAGGGCTAAACTCTGGGTAGGAATGTTGTAGTTGCGGAAGCGCTTAATAAGAAGTATTGAACCACCTTGCGCTGGTATGTGATGGCAAAGTAGATTAATTGAAACAAGAAGATACAATGTTTTATGAGAGTACAAGGAATATGAAAAGATGCAGCTAATAACTGTTTTAGTGTTGCTGTTGTGGTTCGATACAGTGACGACTCGGGCAACTGCTCTGTATCGAGTCAGTTGTTTGTCCTTGCTGCCACGCTGCATTTGTCGAATCAAAGGTCGCTGACCTTTGACCTTCGCGTAACCTCCAGCAGTTACTTCACTTGTCAACCTCCGATGGTTGACTCGCCGTGTCAGAACATATATATATAGCTTATGCTGTTGTGTAGGCTATAGTGGGGTATCCCATAGGGGGTACAACCCAATTAGGGTTTCCTATATGTACTCACTTCATTCATAGTTCATTCATTCTTGTTCAAATCTTCTCATGGTATCGAGCAGGTTCCCCCTTGGGAACTGTGCTTAGGGCCCACCACATCGATTTTTTTTCCTGCCCGAAGCGCGCTCAGCCCGAGTCGCGCTCCGGGCCCTCACTTCGTCGAGCCGCCCTAGCGGCCCTTCACTGCGGCCCCGCCACTCGTCTCAGCGGCCCCGCCGCCCGTCTTCGCGGCCCCGCCGCCTCTCTCCTAGCGGCCTCGCCGCCCTACCTAGCGGCTCCGCCGCCCTACCTCGCGGCCTCGCCGCCCTATTGCGCGGCCCCGCCGCCCTACCTAGCGGCCCCCCCCGCCCTTACTCGCGGCCTCGCCGCCCCATTGTGCGGCCCCGCCGCCCTACCTCGCGGCCTCGCCGCCCCATCGCGAAGCCCCGCCGCCCTACCTAGCGGCCCCGCCGCCCTTCCTCGCGGCCCCGCCGCCCCATCGCGCGGCCCCGCCGCCCTATCTAGCGGCCCCGCCGCCCTTCCTCGCGGCCCCGCCGCCCCATCGCGCGGCCCCGCCGCCCTTCCTCGCGGCCCCGCCGCCCCATCAGCGGCCCCGCCGCCCTATCAAGCGGCCCCGCCGCCCTTCTCTGCAGCGGCCCCGCCACTCCTCTACAGCGGCCGAGCCGCCCAGCAGCAGCGCAGCCGAGCCGCCCAGCAGCAGCGCAGCCGAGCCGCCCAGCCGTCGAGCCGCCCTGCAGCCGAGCCGCCCGGGAGCCGAGCCGCCCTGCCGCCGAGCCGCCCTGCCGCCGAGCCGCCCGGGAGCCGAGCCGCCGAGCCGCCCTGCCGCCGAGCCGCCCTGCCGTCGAGCCGCCCTGCCGCCGAGCCGCCCGGGAGCCGAGCCGCCCAGCAGCCGAGCCGCCGGGCCGCCCTACTGCCGAGCCGCCCGACCTGCCCTGCCTGGTGAGCACAGCACCACTGTTACTGCGTGCCCTTCCCCTACTGCTTGCACTACTACACTGTCGTCGTCATGGCTACCCCTAGTGTCCTCGCTTTTGACGCTGAGGGTCGAGCCATTGACTTTGAGGTCTGGGTCGACGACCTGCAGCTGTTCTTACAGTGCGATAGGGCGGACGGTCTTTCCCTCTTTGACCTCACCTCTGGCGCCTCTCCTGCCCCTGCTGCTGATGCTGACCCCACTGTTCGCTCTCAGTGGGCCACCCGCGATGCTGCTGCACGTCTTGCTGTGCGTCGCCACCTGCCTACCACTGAGCGCGCGCACTTTAGTCAGTACAAGAGTGCTCAGACCTTGTACGACGCTGTAGTTGCGCGCTACTCTTCCCCTGCCACTGCTGCCCTGAGCCGCCTCATGCTACCGTACCTCTTTCCTGACCTTGCTGCCTTTCCCACTGTCGCTGACCTCATTACGCACCTCCGCACTAGTGACACTCGCTACCGCGCCGCCCTTCCTGCTGAGTTCTGCGCCAAGAACCCCCCCCCCATGTACATCACTCTCTATTACATAGTCACACGCCTCCCTGACTCCCTTCGCGTAGTCAGGGACCACTTCCTCTCAGTCTGTCCCACCACTCTCACTGTCGACCTCCTCGAGAAGTCCCTCCTTGCGGCGGAGAAGAGCATCGTCGCTGTAG